AGAGTTGCTCATAATATGTTCTTATAATTGTTTGTATTTCTTTGGTGTTGGTTGTGATCTCTCCTCTTTCATTCATGATTTTGTTGATTTGGGTCATTTCTCTTTTCTTTTGGATCAGTCTGGCCAGGGGTTTATCAATCTTGTTAATTCTTTCAAAGAACCAGCTCCTAGTTTCGTTGATCTGTTCTACTGTTCTTTAGTTTCTATTTCCTTGATTTCTGCTCTGATCTTTATTATTTCTCTTCTCCTACTGGGTTTAGGCTTTATTTGCTGTTCTTTCTCCAGCTCCTTTAGGTGTAGGGTTAGGTTGTGTATTTGAGACCTCTCTAGGTTCTTGAGAAAGGCTTGTATTGCTATATACTTTCCTCTCAGGACTGCCTTTGCTGTATCCCAAAGATTTTGAACAGTTGTGTTTTCATTTTCATTGGTTTCCATGAACTTTTTAAATTCTTCTTTAATTTCCTGGTTGACCCATTCATTCTTTAGTAGGATGCTCTTTAGCCTCCATGTATTTGAGTTCTTTCTGACTTTCCTCTTGTGATTGAGTTCTAGTTTCAAAGCATTGTCGTCTGAAAATATGCAGGGAATAATCCCAATCTTTTGGTACCGGTTTAGACCTGATTTGTGACCTAGGATGTGATCTATTCTGGAGAATGTTCCATGGGCACTAGAGAAGAATGTGTATTCCGTTGCTATGGGATGGAATGTTCTGAATATGTCTGTAAAGTCCATTTGGTCCAGTGTGTCATTTAAAGTCTTTATTTCCTTGTTGATCTTTTGCTTAGATGATCTGTCCATTTCAGTGAGGGGGGTGTTAAAGTCTCCCACTATTATTGTATTGTTGTCGATGTGTTTCTTTGCTTTTGTTATTAATTGGCTTATATAATTGGCTGCTCCCACGTTAGGGGCATAGATATTTACAATTGTTAGATCTTCTTGTTGGATAGACCCTTTAAGTAGGATATAGTGTCCTTCCTCATCTCTTATTATAGTCTTTGGTTTAAAATCTAAGTTGTCTGATATAAGGATTGCCACCCTAGCTTTCTTTTGGTATCCATCAGCATGGTAAATGGTTTTCCACCCCCTCACTTTCAATCTGGGGTTGTCTTTGGGTCTAAAATGAGTCTCTTGCAGACAGCATATCAATGAGTCTTGTTTTTTTTATCCAATCTGATACCCTGTGTCTTTTGATTGTGGCATTTAGCCCATTTACATTCAGGGTAACTATTGAAAGATATGAATTTAGTGCCATTGTATTGCCTGTAAGGTGACTGTTAGTGTATATTGTCTGTGATCCTTTCTGGTCTATGTTACTTTTAGCCTCTCTCTTTGCTGAGAGGACCCCTTTCAATATTTCTTGTAGAGCTGGTTTCGTGTTTGCAAATTCCTGTAGTTTTTGTTTGTCCTGGAACCTTTTTTATCTTTCCTTCTATTTTCAAGGACAGCCTAGCTGGATATAGTATTCTTGGCTGCATATTTTTCTCTTTTAGTGCTCTGAATGTATCATGCCAGTCCTTTCTGACCTGCCAGGTCTCTGTGGATAGGTCTGTTGTCAGGCTAATGTTTCTACCATTGTAGGTTACATATCTCTTCTCCCGAGCTGCTTTGAGGATATTCTCTTTGTCTCTGAGACTCGTAAGTTTTACTATTAGATGATGGGGTGTTGACGTATTTTATTGATTTTGAGGGGGTCCTCTCCTGGATTTTGATTCCTGTTTCCTTCCCCAAATTAGGGAAGTTCTCTGGTGTAATTTGCTCCAATATTACTTCTGCCCCTCTCTCTCTTTCTTCTGGGATCCCCATTATTCTCATATTGTTTCGTCTTATGGTATCACTCATCGCTAAAATTCTGCACTTGTGATCCAGTAGTTCCTGACTCCATCATGTATACATACATAAAGATAAAGATAAGGAAACAAACAAACAAAAAACAAAAAGAACCAGAATATGATCAAATATGATCAGGCTGGTGCATAGATCAGTGCCACACACTACATTTTGGGCATATTTTGGTCTGTTAGAAGAAAGTGCCTCCCAAAATTTTAAAGAAAGAAAAACTTATATATGTACAAAAATAAGGGTAAATACGATGAAGGGATACAATATGACTGTAAAGATGAAAATTATAAAAAATTTTATAAAAGGAATTGATAAGTTGGTTGAAAAAAGAAGAGGAATTAAAAAAAAGGGAGAGAATGTGAGACTAGAACAAAGCCATACACTAGAGATTTAGGGTATATTTTGGTCTGTTAGAAGAAACTGTATCCCAAAATTTTAAAGAGAGAATACACACACACACACACACACACACACACACAGACACACACACACCAAAAATAAGGTTAACTACTATGAAGGAATAGAATATCACTCTAAAAATGAAAAATAAAAAAGTTTTTACAAAAGGGATTGATAAGATGGTTGAAAAAGGGAAAAAGAAAAATTAAAAAAGTTTGAAAAAAATTAACTTTTAAAGACTAAAGAATCATGGGGAAAAAAGCCATGAATTCTATGTGCAGTATTCCCCTAGCGCTGGAGTTCTGCCGTTCTCATTGATGGGTAAACTTGGTCTTGGCTTGCTGGCTGTTCGTGCTGATCTTCTGGGGGAGGGGCCTGTTGCCGTGGTTCCCAAATGTCTTTGCCGGAGGCGGAATTGCCCCGCCCTTGCTGGGTCCAGGCTAAGTAATCTGCTCAGGTTTGCTTTCGGGAGCTTTGTTCCCTGCAAGCTTTCCGTACAGCTTTGGAGAATGAGAGTGAAAATGGTGGCCTCCCAATCTCCGCCCGGAGGAGCTGAGAACTCGGGGCCCCGCTCCTCAGTGCGCCCCCAGAGAAAAGCAGTCACTCCCATCTCCCCGGTCTCCGGCCGCACTCCGTGCTCACCCGGCCTGTGACCGAGCGTTTCTCTCTCTGGCGCCCGAACCCGTGTGGAGTCTCCAAACTCAGCAGATCCCTGCGGTGCGCTCCCGCGCCGCTCCTCCCGGGGGAGGAAGGGGAGTCTCCCCGGATCTGCCACTTGGGTCCCTGCTGGAAGAGTAGTGGCCCGACTGCCGCGGATCACGGTTTATGACAACCCCGAGCTGAGAGCCCACTCCTTGGCTCCATCTCTGCAGCCGGCTTCCCTGCTCCGATACCTGGAAGCTCTGCCGCACTCAGGCACCCCGGTCTTTCTGTGACCCCGAGGGTCCTGAGACTACACTGTCCCCGTGAGGGTTCCAGCCCCCGCTTAGCCACTGGAGTGATTTCCCTCAGCGGAGTGTACTTCTAAAATTTCCGATTTCGTGCTCTGATGCTCTATCACTTGCCAGTAACGGCCAACAGAGTCCCCCTCCCCAGCCGTCTATCTTCCCGAATATCACCTCGGATTCACTTCTCCACACGTCTTACCTTCCAGAAAGTGGTCAGTTTTGTTCAGTTACTCCTGTTCTTTTCTTTGATCTCCTGTTGAGTTCATAGGTGTTGAGAATGGTTTGATCCCTATCTAGCTGAATTCCTGGGACCAGACGAAATTTAGGTCTCCTACTCCTCTGCCATCTTGCTCCTCCTCCCCGTATATGTTCATTCTTAGGGAAAGCCTCAATCAGTGATCTTTCCAAATTACTCTAATGAAAGCTACAAGATGGGGGGGGGTAGGACTGCTTATATCATATCTCTATTCCTGAAATTTTATTTCCTAACACTTTTCATATGTGCAATATATTTGCCTCTGGGCACCTGGCTGGCTCAGTAAAGCATGTGACTCTTGATCTTGGGATTCTGAGTTCAAAGCCCATGTTGGGTGTAGAGTGGGCGTAGAGATTAGTTAATGAAATATTTTTTTTAAAAATTATACACACACACACCTTCATGTAAATCAAGGCCACTGCAAGTCATGGGTCTCATGTAGGCATAACAAAGGGCATGTGGAAGTATCACGTGCATATTCATGAATTGTGCTTCAGATGTTTAGGGGGAGAGTCTAAAGTTGCACTGCTGTGGTATTTTAATCACAGCTACATACATATCCAAGGAGCAGACTGTGGCAAGAATAACTCAAAGGTGAGTACACATTCATAAAATTGTACGTCGTTTGGTTCCATCATGGAAAAAAAATTGTTGTAGATGCCTCTCAGCCTTGACAGCCTGAAGATGTATTGTTAGTGTTTGTTATGAAGTACTATAATGAAACTATAGACTTGATCTGATAGAAGAAAACAAACATGATTCATTTAGTTTTGAAAAAAATGATTAAATTTTATTACTTAAAACATAAGTATGATACATTCTGAGTAAAACAGCATCAGTGTAGTGGTTAAACGGGAATACTATACCTGTACACTGTATTCTGGTTGTTTTGATTAAGTTCTTCTGATAACTGCTCTTTAGTTCCCCAAAATAAGACTGTTTGCTCATCTTTGATATACAACCACTATTTTCATTAAAGGGAGAGGATGACCATCATTTCTCCATTATTTCTGTCACATAAGCAATCTCTACTAACATATCATGAAAATCTCAAGTCTCTCAATCTCAAAGCCTGCTGTTTCATGCTCCTCTGGCAGAGCAGTGTTTTCTGATAATCCGTGGCCCTCTGTTACACAGACAAATCTGTAGAAGGGATCCTGAACGTATTATTTACATCATTCTTTTACATATATTCTCTGCCCAACCCGTGTACTCATTCAATTCCACAAAACACTGTATGTTAAAATTCAGTGTTCCTTCAGGATATATGGATGTGAATGATTCCCATTTAATAAAGTAGGCCCTTTATCTTACTGATCTGCTCCCAGAGACCATCAAGGTAACACATGAAAAACATGTAATGAAGGTATAACATCAAATTCCAAACTTACATCAATAGTGAGTGATGCAGGCCTTTGAAGGAACCTCAAGTAATAGAAGTCTTTTTAAAAGAAATGCTACATTCCTAAAGCTCTCCTTGCTCCACTGACACTCATCTCTGAGTCTTAAAATGATTTTGACTTTTACTTACTGTGAATAATTTAACATCTGAGGTTGACTAATCTTGGACTAGTTCTCCCTAGTAAAAATTCTCTGACGTATATATAGCGTATTGTGAAAAATGGTTAAATGATTTATGCCATTCATTACATTTCTAAGGTTCCTCTTCAGCATGAATTCTTTGGTGAATCCTGAGGTCAGACCAGTGTCGAAAGGCCTTGCCACATTCAATACATTTGTACGGCTTCTCTCTAGGATGTGTTCCCTCATGACCCCAAAGGTGTGAACTTTGATAAAAGCCTTACCACACACATTTGTGTGGTTTCTCTCCAGGATGTATATTCTGATGTCTTATGAGGCTTGAATACTGCTTAAAGGCTTTGTCACATTCATTACATTTGTAAGGTTTCTCTCCAGTATGAATTCTCTGATGAATCGTAAGGTTTGAATTTTGACTAAAGGCCTTGCCACACACATTACATTTATATGGCTTCTCTCCAGTATGGGTTCTCTGATGTCGAGTAAGGCGTGAACACCAGTTAAAGGATTTGCCACACTCATTACATTTGTAAGGTTTCTCTCTTCCATGAATTCTCTGATGATCCCCCAAGCTTGAGCTTTGAATAAAAGCATTATCACATATACTAGATTCATAATGTTTCTTTTCAGTATGTATTTTCTGATGTCTAGTAAGGTGTATAAGTTGTGTATATGTTTTATTACAGTCATTACATTTATAAGGTTTCTCACCAGTATGTTTTTTTTTATGTTTAGTTAGGCTTGAACGCACAGTAAAGGCTTTGCCACACTCATTACATTTGTGAGGTTTCTCACCAGTATGAATTCTCTGATGTTCCACAAGACTTGAACTTTGGATAAAAGCCTTACCACATTCATTACATTTGTATGGTTTTTCTCCAGAATGGATTTTCTGATGTTTCACAAGGCTTGAAATGTGGATAAAAGCCTTGGTGCACACAGTACATTTGTGTGGCTTCTCTCCAGGATGTACATTCTGATGCTTAGTGAGGTGTGAGCACTGCTTAAAAGCCTTGCCACACTCATTACATTTATAAGGTTTCTCACCAGTGTGAATTCTTCGGTGAATCCTGAGGGTAGACCACTGCCTAAAAACCTTGCCACATTCAATACATTTGTATGGTTTCTCTCCAGTATGAATTCTCTCATGATCCCAAAGATATGAACGTTTGGTAAAACCCTTACCACATTCATTACATTTGTAAGGTTTCTCTCCAGTATGAATTCTCTCATGACGCCAGAGATCTGAACATTTGATAAAAGCCTTACCACATTCATGACATTTGTATGGTTTTTCTCCAGTATGAATTCTCCAATGATTTGTAAGGTGGGAATTTTGATTAAAGACCTTGTCACAGATATTACATTTATATGGTTTCTCCCCCGTATGGATTCTCTGATGTCTTGTGAGGTTTGAGAACTGCTTAAAGGCTTTACCACACTCATTACATTTGTAAGGTCTCTGCTCAGAATGAATTCTCTGATGACTAGTAAGGACTGAGTGATGGCTAAAAGTCTTTCCACACTCATTACATTTGTATGGTTTTTCTCTAATTTTTGTTTTCTGGTGCTGTGTGAACAATGAAGGAAACATAAAAACCCTTCCATATTTATTACAAAGGTTGGTTTTGACACTAGGAAGAAATCTTTGAAGTGGCAAAACTGAAGAACAAGTTTTGACAGACTTCTCAACTTGATCACATTCATTAATTTTCTCCTCGGTTTGAAGTCTCTGCAGTTCAATCAGATGTGACTGAAAGCTTAACCCAATTCTATTTTCAAAACATTTTGTATACTTACTTCCTGCATAGACTATATTATTTTTTATTTTTAACAAATTTTTTACTAATGACTTCTCTTGTTTAAAATTTTGATAAGCACTTTTTCTTAAAGAAACACTCTGCTTTATAGGTAAATTAATCCAGGATTTGCTGTCTTGTTTATCTTTTCTACCAGGGAGATTTACAGTATCTGTCACAAGCACTCCTTTGGAATTTCTTTCTTCATATCCACACTTACTCTCAAATTCATACATACTTCCCCAAACTTCCCTGAAGTCAAAATTCTCAAGGCCATGGCTTTCATGTCTTCCCAAGACCACTAGTTGGCATAATTTTCTGTTATTTTCTTTCTTTGGTAATAATTCCTTGATCATGAATCTAGCAGAGCTTTCTGAAAGATATAGAAAACCATAGTCTTCAGTAACTAGAGTTGCAGAATGGATATTACACTAAAAGTAATACATTGAAGAGATAACAACTTCTCAACCAAAGTCTGCAAATGTTTAAGAATGCAAAGTGAATAGAATCCTTTAATAAAAGATGACATGTATTTCAAATTATTTTAAGGGAAACCTACTTTCTTTCTCTGTTTTTTGTTTTTTGTTTTAGAGGGGCAGAGGGTAGCAGAAGGAGGGGCAGAGGGAGAGATACAGAGAATCTTAAGCAGGCTCCACACCCAGCACGGAGCCCAGTGTGGGGCTCAATCTCACAACCCTGAGATCATGACCTGAGCCAAAACCAAGAGTCAGACACTTAGCTAAGCCACCCAGATACCCCTGGAAACCTGTTTTCAAACACCCTATGACCAAATCGTTCATATGTAAATTTACATAAGTTCTGAAAGAAAGTGTATTCTTTGACCACCACAACAAAACACACACCAATTGGCAGTAGACAAATGGGTGTCTCATACTGAAAAGAAAACAGATATTGAGGGGTCTGGGTTGTACAGTCGGTTAAGTGTCTGACTCTTAATTTGGGCTCAGGTCGTAATCTCAGGGTCATGAGATCGAGCCCCACATAGTGCTCAGCATGGTGACTGCTTGGGTTTCTCTCTCCCTCTCCCTTACCCCTACCTGCCTTTAAAAAAACAAAAAGAAACATATTCTACAAATGCATATTTACAGCATAATTATTATATGCAAATAAATGCTGAATCACAGCTCTATATGAAGTAATAAGATTTTTTTTTGGACAAATTATCCATTTAAAAAATTAATGAGGGGCGCCTGGCTGGCTCAGTCAGTAGAGCATGTGACATACCAAGGTTGTAAGTTTGAGCCCCATGTTGGGTGTAGAGATTACTTAAAAAAATTTTTTTCTTAATTAATAAGATAAATACACGGAAATTATGAATTGTAAAACTAAAGGGGTAATAGGAAAATCAAGAAGAATTTAATACAACATCACTGGAATAACAAAATATTCTGAATATCTACTCTAAAGCTATCTATACTCTATGCAGAATAGGCATTTTGGAACATTAACAATTGGTGAATTGCAGTCATATTCCAAACTAGATGCTAAAATCCATAATCTGTAAATGACAAGTTATTAAATACAATTTTTTAACTAAACCAAGATAAGTCCAACAGGTAAATAAGTAACCACAATTACACAAAATTATAGACTGTGAAATTCTAATGATTTCTCACTTAAGAACAAGAGAAAGGACTTATAGTCCAGAAAGAGCACACAAGATGAGAACTGGAAACTATGTTAAGAAAAGCTCCCACATATTCCTAGCAGTCTAAGTTACACACATGTCCACTGGCTTCTAAAATACCAGTTTTCAGATAGTATTATAAAGAACTGGGTAAAAGGAACAGCATGAAAATCACTGAGTATCATAAGTGCATCTCTCCACAAAAACAGCAAGTAAGTTGGCAAAAACTGTCAGAATCAACTTTATCAGAATTCTGGAAACTAAACAAAGGTTTACAGCAAACATGTAGATACTTAAGAAACAGGCAGCTGATCTCAGTTGAAGAGCTTCTGATATTTTAACTTCCCCTGGCCCAATCCCATTCTCTCCAGCATAGGGGCAGCCCATGTTCCTGGTATAGGGCTCCTGTATGGAGAGTGGCAGAACAGACTTGATTCTCTAAGAACTGTGGTTTTTACTTTGACCTGCCTGGTGGCTCACTGAAAAACTGGCTCAAAAAGTTTTACCTTTACTTTGCTTATTAATTCAAGAGGTGCTATGGGGCTGGGGTGGGGGCAGCATTTGACAAGCACATTTAAAGGCAAATGTATTAACAGATGACACTTGGGGCAAAAAGCAGACAAACTGAAAAGCCAGGGAATAAGGGCTGGGGAGTGAAATGCTTTGGGGAATAAGGACTTTGAAAGGCTGCTACACGTTCCTAGGAATCTAAGTCACGCACATGCTCAGGACTGGATCAGTGCTCAGAAAACACATGAGGCAGCCCTATGCCTCACCTCCTGCTAACCTTCAGGCTCAGCAAAAGCAGAAGGTAAAGGCTAAGGCATCGCTGTAAACTACCAAGCTGAGTTTCAGGTATTCCCAAACATACAGAATCTATTTACAAAGACTAGGAGTTTTTTGCTTTTTGGTTTTTTTGGTTCCAGGTGTTTGAGAAGTTCTGTGTTAAATCACTACCTGACCACTAAGCTAACCAGAGACTTGAGTGGCCACACATGACAAAGAATACAGACTTCACAAATCAACTCCAAAAAATTACTAAACAAAACAAACAACAACTACAATAAGCAGCAACATCCAATGCTGGGATGAGGATGTGGGTGGGGGAGAATGTGACTTCCAGAGTTGTCATAATATTCAAAATGTTTAGCTTTAAAGAAAAAAATTATGAGGCATGCAAACCAACAATGATGTATAGCTCATATGCAGGAAAAAAAGCAATTTAACAAAAATTTTCCTGAGGAAGCCCAGACATTGGACTTTGCTAGATAAATAATTAAGTCACTATTTTAAATATGCTGAAAGAACTAAAACGAAACCATGTGCAAAGAACCAAAGGAAAAAGAACAATATTTCCTAAAATAGAGAATCAACAAAGAGACAGAAATTATAAAAAGGAACCAGAAAAGAAATTCTGGAGCTGAAAAGTACAAAAACTAAAATGGAAAAAGCCCTAAAGGAGTTTAACACCAAACTCAACAGGCAGAAGAAAGAACTAACAAACCTGAAGATTAAGTCAACTGAGATTATCCAATCTTAGCAGGAGAAAGAAAAAAGAATGAAGAAAAATGAATGGAGAACAAGAGACCTGTGGGATACCTTCAAGTGTACCAACAAAGATAATGTGAATCCCAGAAAGGACAGAATGAAGTGGGCAGAAAAAATATTTGAAATAATAAGGCAGAAAAATTCCCAAATTTGATGACATACACAAATCTACGTATCCATGGAGTTTGGCAAGCCCCGAGTGAGGTAAACTGAATGATGCCCACAGTGAAACACTTCATAATCAAACTGTCAAAGAGTCAAAGACACAGAATCCTGAAAGCAGCAATGGGCAGTTCCTTTGGTGAAACTACCCACTGATTTCACACCAGAAACCATATGGACAAGAAGGCAGTGGGATGACATTTTCATAGTGCTAAAGAGAAGTAACAGTCTACTATGAATTCTATATACTTCTAAACTATCCTTCAAAATAGAGGATAACTTAAGACATTGCCAAAAAAAAAAAAAAACACACAAAAACTGAGAGTCCCTTGCTAGTAGACCAGTCAACAAAAATGGTAAAGGGAATGAATGTCTCAGGCCAAAATGAAGGAAGAGACAAGAACTCGAATCCACATCAAGAAATAAGGAACAGTAATAAAGACAGTACATAGGTGTGTATAAGGTTAGTATTAATGTATTTTTGGTTTGTCATTCCTCTTTTTCCCTATTGATTTAAAAGACAAAACTAATTTTAAATCTACATTGATGCCCTAAAGACACAGATGTAGTGGAAAGAAGGGCCATATGCACCCAATGTTCATAGCAGCAATGTCCGCAATAGCCAAACTGGAAAGAGCCGAGATGCCCTTCAACAGACGAATGGATAAAGAAGATGTGGTCCATGTATACAATGGAATATTACTCAGCCGTCAGAAAGGATGAATACCCAACTTTTACATCCACATGGATGGGACTGGAGGAGATGATGCTCAGTGAAATAAGTCAAGCAGAGAAAGTCAATTATCATATGGTTTCACTTATTTGTGGAACATCAGGAATAACATGGAGGACATTAGGAGAAGGAAGGGAAAAATGAAGGGGGGGAATCGGAGGGGGAGACGAACCGTGAGAGACTCTGGACTCTGAGGAACAAACAGGGTTCTAGAGGGGAGGGGGAGGGGGAGGGGTTGGCCCGGTGATGGGTGTTAAGGAGGCACGTCCTGCAGGGGGCACTGGGTGTTCTACGCAAACAATGGATCAGGGATCACCACATCAAAAACGAATGATGTGCTGTATGGTGAGTAACATAATAAAAGTAAGTCTATGTTGATGGTCACACAATATATGGAGACATGATTTCATGACAATAACAAGAGAGAAGGAGACAGGATGTAGAAGAGCCAAGTTTTCAGATAATACTTTGGAAATGTTGTGGGTTCAGGTCTAGAGCAATGCAATATAGTGACTCTAATGAATTTTTTCATTTCCCAGTGGCTGTACTGTGAGACAAAATATACTTTAAGTAAAAATTTTTATGAGACAAAGGACAATATATACTTAAAAGAATAATTCATTAAGGAATTACAAATATGAACATATACACAAGCGAACCCCAAATATATGAAACAAACATTTACAGAATTGAAGGGAGAAATAAAAATAGTTCTAGAATAGTGTCTGGAGACTTGCAGACCTCACTTTCAAAAATGGACAGTACAGCTAGACAGAAGTTCAGTAAGGACACAGATGATTTTAGGCCGACTATAAACCAATGAGCACTGACAGACATATACAGAGCACTGCACCCAGTAAGAGCAAAAGCCATTCTTCTCTACATGCATGTGAAACGTTCTCCCGGACAGACCATCTATTAGTCCATGAAGCAAGTCTCAACAAATTGAAAAAGAGTGAAATCATACACATTATTTTCTCCACAAAAGAACAAACCTAGAAAATGAAGAACCGAAGGAAAACCGGAAAGCTCAAAACTACATGAAAATTTTTAAACATTCTTAAACCAATGGGTCAGAAAAGGTATCACAAGGGAAATTAGAAAATACTTTGAGAGAAAAGAAACAAAACCACAACACAGCAAAGCTTACAGCATAGTGTGGTGTGGACATGCTTATACTCCTGCTGAGTGAAAGCAGTGTTACTGGTGGATCGAGAGACCCACCCCGCTCCCCGGTTAGACACTGTCCAATGTGCAGCAAAAGCAGAACTGAAGAAACGGCTGGGGGCCCTGAAGAGGCAGAGAGCTCTGGGGCCCCAGATGCTGATGTTTTCCAACCCCAGAAGAAGGTCTCCTAAGTACACAGAATGGGATGGATCCTGGAAAAGGCCTGGTGCCAGGACAGGGGAGGCTTCAACTCCGACCCGTGTGGAATGGGAACAAAAATGGGACAAGGCTAAGGAAGAAAGGGGACCGACCCCTTAAAACCAGCCTCCCAGTGCTCCTTAAGGGCAAGGGACCAAAGAAGTCATAGGGGCATAGGGCTCCTGGCTGGCTCAGTCCATAGAGCATGCAACTCCTGATCTCTGGGTTTAGGTTCGAGCCCCACATTGGGTGTAGAGATTACTTAAAAATAAAATCTTAAAAAAAAAAAAAGGTCATAGGGGCATATAATATAGGGCCACAGGTCATGATAAAGATTTTGCTTTGGTCTTTGCATGAGCTAGAAGTTGGGAGGATGTACTTCCACATGTCTGAAGAAGGGAATGACAGGGGAAGGGAAATAAACTTTCCTCTAAGAGCTCGTAAGAAGGAAAAACTCTCCCACTACGAGAAAGTTGCCGAAACACTATTAACACTCTCTGCCCTTCTGAACTCTTGCCTGTGTTCCCACCAATTTGGCTTTTTCAGTGTTTTAACCTTGCTCTCCACAGTCTGGGCTCTTTCCCTTGCTCCAAAATAAAGATGATATTCAGGTCAGGAAGAGGGATTCCTGCTTATAAAAAGAAAGGAACATGATGTGCTGTGTCTTTTCCAGAATACAATTCCAGCCCTTTGTTCAACTGAGGAGAGAGGATGTTACAGATGTGTCTAGAAAAAAATTTTCACAAACTTGTTCAGTCTCTCCTGAAAGCTTAAGGGATATTTTTAAAGCACAGATATCCAGCTCTCTTCCAAGAACTACTGAGTCAAAAGTACAGGGATAAAAGTGGATCTAGAATCAGATATTTTTTAAAGTTTGCCATAAGGTTTTGTTGTTACTTAGCTTCTGGAAGCGTCACTAATCTAGGGTGGAGTGGGGAGATCATCTGAAGAAAGGGGGAGGCGAAAGTCTAGATGCTGCCTCATAAACTTTTTCATTTCAGAAGGTACACGGCCTCAATCTCAGTCAAGCAGGGCAGGGGCTCCTAAGAAACTCACTGGGGCAGATCCCGACTTCTGGAGGGAAACTATCCTCACCCAGGGAGACCAGGTTCCTGTAGTTCTCCACCATCACGTCCCTGTACAAGGCCCTCTGAGCAGGGTCCAGGCACTCCCACTCCTCCGGAGAGAATTCTACGGCCACATCCCTGAATGTCAAGGGTCCCTGAAATGAAAAACACATTTCACCAAGGAACCTTGGGGAGAATTCTCATGTTCACACAAAATGTGAGCAGGAAAGGGATGTCAGGATTGATTCAACTGAAATCAATGTTTGGACATCATTTTGAGCAAGAATAGATAACTGTGAGCAATTTATATATCCCTAATTTTGTTTTATTTTGTTTTTCCATCAGAGGATATCAGATCTACTAAAACACTGTAGATTTCCCATTTTTGTGGAAAATAGAACTATATAAATGAAAAATGTCTGACACACAGTTGTTTATGTGGACATGGTATATATTATGTTCTCCACACTAGTGACACTTCTACACACCTAGAGGATCTAGAGCACAAGAGGCATCTTCAGGTGTGACACATTATCTGCAAAAATATAAACTACATGTTTCCATTTAAAGTCAGACATTTAACCATTATGGAGTTGATCAGCCAAATGGAGTTTATTCTACCAACAAAAAGAAACCCCAACGCATGAGGAGGAATTTTACCAACGCTGTACGTTAATTTAACAGATTAAGTAGGACACAGATTGATCACAGCAGATCTTGAAAGAAATACTGGATTAAAAATCATGCCAAACAGGACATTTAAAAACTTGTTATTGAGCAAGACCATTCCACCACGCATCATAATCCATAGTAAGCACTGGAAGCATTTCCACCACAGGTGAGACTGAGGCCCATGGGCTAGCCAGGCTCCTGCCAGTCAGCACTGCATGGTATGCCTGAGGCCCAGCTAGGTGGGGGACACCCATTCCCATTAGCAGTTGTACCAGGACCTCTATTTGCAAGACATTTCCCAACTTACGTGAAGAGAAAACTTTACTGAAAGACAGAACAAAGACATCAAAGACTGACAAGCGTAATTCTTACTGGAAGATGTGGTGACATAAAGACCTCAGTGATTTAGAAATTCAAAGCAATTCAAATGCAGAAGAAACATGGGAATTTAAAAGAAAAAAAAATCTCCATCATGTTGAGGAGAAATAATTTTGAGAAGAAAAAATGGAGAGCCTTGCCAAACGACACAGGAACCTGTTAATGTGTGTGTTACATGAAATTTTTCAATCAATGAAATAAATAGCTACGAGATATACACTAAAAAGTCAAATCAAAGAGATAAATTTAAACAAACAAAAGAGTACTAAATGGAACAGAGTACTTTGAGATTACACCAGGTGAGGTCTTCCAAAATAAGATCAGAAAGCAGAGGGCAAGAAGGATTTAGGTTTCACTGCAAAACACTGATAATATAAGAAAGACACAAGCGTGTATGTAAAGAATTAAACTACAAAATATAAGATTGCTCCTAAAAATATATCAAAGGAAAACAGCAAAACATGAAAAACCATGTTTTAGTCCACAAAAATAATGAAAGTTACAAGTAGGTAGAAAATGGAAATACAAGGGATTGTCCTTTCACCCCCAATTTTCAAAACACGAAGAGATTACGGTACCAAGTTTTGCTTACATGGGGCGGTGGGGGGCGGAGGGGAGGTGGGAATCTCACGTGTTGTTGTGGGACAGGGTACTTTACAGCTTTAGGAGACCACATCGGACAGAATCTGTCCTTGTATAATGCACTGTCCTTGACCCGGTAATCACAGGTCAAGTGAGAAATCCTCAGACATCTGCAGAGAGGTCGGTCTGCTCATACACAGCCACTGTGGCATTCTTCACATCAGTGAGAAATGGGAAAGTCCCACGCGTCTTCACTAAGAGAATGCTCCAGTGAGGATCGAAGAGCAAGCTGTGTCTGTGTTTATTAACATGAAAAGAACCTCTAGACATGCTGTGTACATTTTTTAAACTTGCAGAATAAAATGTTACAACAAACTTCATTGAGGAGTTTCTTCTAAAATTTTAGAACAATGTGTAAATGCATTTTTACAAGGTTTGGACTGACTCTTGCCACAGAACTGACAACAGTGGTTCCCCGCTGAGACACGAATGGTGGAGGACATGACAGGGAAGGGCGTCCCCTTCCTATCACATCTTAGTGCCTAAGCTGCTGCTTTGTTAGGAGTTTAATCAGTCAGTCAATACATCTATTCATACATGACTTACTCATGTGATATTGGAAATAAAAGGGATATAATACTTAAAAATAATGGTGGAACCAGAATTTGGCTACAGCATCTCTGACGGCAAAGAGAAAGTTCTATGCTACGCATCTTGGCTACATTACCACCATTTTTACCTAAAACATCTGCTGCACAAGAGTTGCTACAGGAATGCCATGGTCAATGTGGGATAGATGTGCTGAGAATGATTTTGAAAACCTCTTACCGTTGGCTATTTAGGTTGATTCCGTATTTTAAAGCCAATTATGGAATAAAACATCCTATTGATACCTACTTCTGAACTTTATTCTAAATCATTAGTATTTTAGAACCAGAAACACCACAGTTCACTTGTTTAGCTCTGAATGCATTTTAAAGTCAGGCAGAGCTGATTTCCTCTTATCGAGCTTGTTTTCCAGAATTTTCCAACTATTCCTACACATTAATACATGACTTCCACATGTAGCTTCTTTGATCCTGGCTACAGAGAGCTGACAGTGCATCCAGACGTGTCCCCTAAAACAATCCCTGCTGCCCAACCACACTGACACCACGGGGCCCACCCACACCTGTCTCCAATCCACGCCTGGTGTGAAGCCCATCAGGATGCGCCCAGGGCCGGGGGGCGAAGTGGGGCTCCTCAAAGGCTCCACATCACTGGGTCACCGTGAGGAATCTAAGTGGAGAGGAGAGGGACTGAGGGAAGGCCTGGGGGAGTGTGGACAGACACGGCTCAGGCGGGACACGTAGAGAAGATCAGAAAGTCCAACAAGGGCACAGCAGGAATGAGAGACAGAACATCAACCAAGAATATGACTTTACCTGACAAAAAGCCATTCCTGACTCCTCCCTTTCCTCTTCCGGGCTTCTTTCTCAGACAAGATCAGTCTTGAGAATTCAATCCTAAAGGTCAAGAATCTGCAGTTTAATGCTTAGAATCAATCTACGTCCTTCCTGCACCACAACCTCACACAGGGAGACCTCTCCGTGTGGAAATGACAGTCCTCTGCTGCCCACTGCCACAGGAGGGGGGCTCAGGGACAGTGAACTCCTCCAGACACCAACAAGTGAGTGTCCCCACCCCTTTCTTCAGAACTGGCCGCAGCAGTGGGGACCTGGGCTGGACCCGGCATTCCCCTCCAGGTCACAGACCCGCCCTGATCACACCCACGCAGAGCAGGGCCCCCTCACCTCTCCCTCAGAAACGGAGGACCCAGAGCCTTGGTGCTCAATGCTGGATACACATCAGAAGCGCCTGGGACACTTTAACTGGTACTGAGGCTGGGCCCTATCCCCCCGTGACCACTGGAAGGGGACTCTCTGGGAGGGCCACAAGAGCTGTATCTGCAATCCAGTGTGAGGCTGGGTGCAGCACACTCCCAGGAGGCCAGCCCAGCACACCTCCCACCTTCTGGCTCTGCTCGCCCCTGGGGTCTTGCTGTCATGAGTATCCAGCCAGTGGAAGGGGAAGGAGCAGAAAGAAATATGCAGAGGAGGCAAAAGGGACCAGAATTGAGGGTGAGGGAGCAGATGGAATGTTAGAGTGGGGGTGGGGGAACAGAAGCCAGAGAAGGCAGCCACTGAGGGGTGGTATCCGAACAAAGATCCAAGGAAAGACGAGACTTTGCCACCTGCATGTGAGGGGCCAGGGACTTCTAGGCAGGACATCCATGTGAAGACCCTGCGGTAGTGGCATTTTGGGCTCCGGAAAGGGCAGGGAGGCCTGTACGGCTGGAGCCAGGTGAGTGGAGGAGAGCAGGAGGAGGTAAGATCAGAGAGTATTAAAGGAAGCAGATCAGAAAGTTCCAAAGCAGGTTAGAATTCTTCAGGCTTTTCCCCATACCTCAGAAGACTTTTGGAAACCATGTATTCCCTTATCCATTTTGAGTAAACATCTAATTTTTATTTCTCTTGTCCTAAGTTAAAACACTAATAAGTAATGGGTCTTGTATACTTTGCAAACCTGCCAAGATGCCCAGCTGGGCTGCAGGAAATACAGGGTCGCCCTATATGCGGAGGCAGACTGCAGGGGACACTTTTGGAGGAGTCTGGGGGGTCACTAATGGACATATTAAGGTGAAGACGCCAGACTGTTGTCCCAGCAGAGATGTTGAGGCAGCTGGATACAGGACCCAGGTTTCAGGGAAGAGGTCTGGAGGTCTGGGTGGAGCGGTGGAAGGCGACATCAGTGTTCAAAGTCATGAGATGGAGTGACGTGGAAAGGCAGGAGGTGGAGACAGAAGAGAAGGGGTTCAGGGACGAAGCTTAGGGGTGCTCCCGCAGAGACCAGGGAGTTAGGGGAAACAGGCACAGGAAACAGACACATGAACAGGGAGAAGAAAATTAAAACAGGTAACTGGAAGACAGATTTACTTTAAAAAAAGGTAGTGTGAGGTGGAAGCCAAGAGAAAGTGCTTCAGGAAGAGGGAGCCCAGCTCGCTGTAGTTAGGACCAGCGTGGTAAGAGCACACCAATTCCTGGACTGAGAAGTGGGGAGGTCCCCAGTGACTCAGACATGGAAAGTCTCAGCAGCATGGTGGGTATGAAAGTGAGAACTGGGGGGTGCCTGGGTGGTTCAGTCAGTTAAGTGTCTGCCTTTGGCTGAGATCATGATCTCAGGGTCCTGGGATCGAGCCCCGCATAGTGCTCCCTGCTCAGTGGGGAGTCTGTTTCTCCCTCTCCTTCTGCCCTTCCCCTGCCCATGCGCTTTTCTCTCTCTCTCTCTCATAAATAAAATCTTAAAAAAAAAAAACTGGAAGCAAGATCTAAAGCAGAGTATAAGCATGTGTTTAGTGTATTCTGCTCTGAAATGGAGCATAAGAAAGAGCACTTACCAGAGTGGGAAATGTAGCTAATAGAGGATGTTTTATTTTAAAGAGGCGAGACTGTAGTAAAAGGCTTTTTTTTGTGGCTTCTTTTTAAGATGAGACATTACCATATGTATATGGTGAACAAAGTAACTGCCTAGAGGTAAGGTAAGAATTGATGAGCAGTGGCAGTGTGCAAAAGATCCTGAGACTGTTCGACCTTACCGCCCCTCGCTGCTGTTCCCGAGACCCACTTCTAGCAAGCCTGCCCCAGTGAAAACACCCACCACCTGGGCCCCAGTCCCCCACTGTCTCCCTTCTTGACTCAGACACTCCTGCAAGTTCCCATGGTGTTTGTTCTACAATCCCAGTGGACACCCATTATTGAAGGACAGAACCTCCTAATCACCTATACACTGCCGAAGAATCCCACGCTGTGTTCCTAACATCAATCTTCCGTTTTGGCAGGAAGACACCCACCACCCCAGGATCTGTTATGTTCCTTCTTGGAGACTGTCTAAACTCAGACACCTCCATAACGTCATAATACAAGAATAATGTCTGAAATGATCTACATACTCCAGCAAGACTCATGTATCTACTAATGAAATGCCCCAAAATGCCATTTGTAGCCCACAAAACATGTGTGCTACTTTCAATAATAACGCTTTGCTTGTAATAATGAGATCCCCGACCAAAACCACTACAGATTACCCCCCAAATGGTGACACTTTCCCTTCAACCCCTTATGGGTCCTAAGAGACCCCACAGAAGTCAACCAAATAAACACCAGATGGGGCTTCTTGGATCCACCCCTCAGGATTCAGGCACAAACTGCCCCACAGCTGTCAGTCTGGCTGCTGGTAACTAGACAGCTCACTCCCTCCCTGTAAACGGACTCAGCTAAAGTGAGCAGTGGCCTCTCCATCACAGCACCTGGCTGGGCAGCCAGTGTCCAATGTCTGGTCAATGCAGGAAAGAGAAGCCTGTTTCTTCCCTCAAACTGGGCCAGCTCTGGAAAGTCACCCCACCGCCAGAGCTCTCTGCTGCAGCCAGACAGTGGAGTCTGGACTTTTGTCCTGAGGGCAACCGGAAGCCAGTGAAGGGATTAAAGCCAGGGGATTCCTTCCGTGATGTCTGTCCATCTAGTCCAGTTCTTCTATTCCTTCCCCCACGACCTCAGTCTGATGCATCTGCTCCCTGCCGTCCCGCCCCATCACCGGTTAAGGCCCCTCTCGTCCAGTGTGCTACCCTTCACCTCTCTGGAGAGACCTTTTAATTAGACTTCTCTATTTGCGTCTCCCTCTACTTTTCTCTGGTTCACTCCACTCTTACTGTCTCTCCACATCCACCCGCTCTACCCAGTTCTACCCTCTCTTCCTTCCCTTCTCTCACACGAAGTCTTCCTCATTCTCTGTCAGACTGTCTCTGCTTCGCCCCACACCCTCACACTCACAGGTATGGAATAAAAATGTTCTTTGCCTGGGAAGACCACTTTCCAGTAGGGCTTCAGGAATGGATACACACCGTGACAAGCACAAGCACGTGGTTTGGGCGGCAGAAACCCCTAAGGCGGTGGGTGCAAAGTAGGCAAGGAGGGCCGGCTCCGGAGGTCGCGTCGGTGGAGGGGGCGTCAGAAGAGGATCGGTGCCTGCAGCATCCCAAGGCCACGGAGATGTGGCGTCGGGGTCTGCACGAGGGCCTCCGCCCTGGGGGCCACCGAGGGAAGACTTCACACAGCCTGGCGGAGAGGGGCAAAGGGCCGGAGCGTGGCGGGAGTCCCGGAAGGGTTTTCAGAGGAAAGAGACCGCAAGCGCTGTCTACCTGGACGGAAGGCGGGACCCGCCTCAGCAACTTTACCTCGAAAGAGACGTGGACCCCCGGACCCGCAGAGGAGCTCCCAGGCCTGCGATATCTGACGGTGCTGCCGGGAATCATTGGGCGCGGGACAAGCGCGCGAAGCGGTTTTATCTATGAGGCAACCCCAAACTCCGGGTGTTGCGGATCGGAGCCCTGGGGCGAGGGGAGGGTCCCACAAAGGCCAGGGTTGAACCAGAAAAATCTGTCACTGACTCACCTGTGTCCTTCACTGCGCTTCCGGGTCTGCAGGGTACTGCGCATGCGCGGCGTGCTGCGGGGGGTGGGGGGTGGAGAAGGAGGGCGGGGGGGACGGGCCGGGGACGGTGGCCTGGACTGGACATAAGGGGCGTGGCCCACGTAGGAGCGGGGCCTGGACCTCGGTCCTGCCTCTGAACGTTTCCTGCCCTTTCAGTCCAAAGGTACCTTACTCTTACGCTCCGCTTTTCAGTTTGTTTGAATCTCTTTGGTGTCTCGGGGACCGAATAGTCTCCTGGCTATTTTATTTTTTTTTAAAGATTTCATTTATTTGACAGAGAGAGGGAACACAAGCAGAGGGAGTGCGAGAGGGAGAAGCAGGCTTCCCGCCGAGCAGGGAGCCCGATGCGGGACTCGATGCCAGGACCCTGGGACCCTGACCTGAGCCGAAGGCAGACGACTGAGCCACCCAGGCGCCCCTCTCCTGGCTATTTTAAATTAATGTTTCAAACAACTTAGTTGTGAGTGCCGCTTATATTAGAAGCTGAGATGTTTTCCTGTTAAATTGAAAGCTCAGCGGGTGGTGTTGGGGAATATAATTAAAAACAAAATCGTCTCCCAACCCAACAATCCTCTCCACAAAGGTAGTAGAGGAAAAAAACAGTTTCATAAGTGAATAAACATTAAACCAGAATGTGATGTGCATCACAGGCAATCTTGAGAGATTGCAGAAATGAATTTCACCCTGTCATAAAAGACAAGGGGATACGAAGAATTGCATACATGTTCTCAAGATAGATCATAACTAGTTCTCAGGAGGACATGACAGCACCGTTTGTCACACATAGCTCATCCTAACATCACCAGGTAATCTGCATGGCCGTTTGTGTTAGCTAATTGGCTTTAACCGGAGGGAAAACAAACTTCTCATATCTTATGACAGGAGGGAGTTTTGCCACTCAGAGCAAGGCACCTGCTGAGTTAGGTACCTATCCTCCCACAGGAACTGAAAGATAAATATACTATTTCCTTTGATGTTTACATTTTAAAGAGATGGCTCCCAGATCCTTGAGCAAACATTCCTGAGTTACAGTGTTGGCAAGAGCCTGATTTAGCTTTTCAAAGACGTAAATACATTTCAAACAGGAAGACAAAGAACTTAAAAGTTTTCTAAGGGAAATGCTCTAGGAAAAGGGAGGAAGAGAAGTCTCTTTGCTTCCCCCCCCCCGAGAGACCTGTTTTCTTTCTCTCATTTTTAGTTTATATTTTTCCTTACAGAAACAATATGCATTCATTCACTAAAGCAATATTGTTTTTTAACATCTGCGATGTGCTCACAAGAATGGTAGTGTGCACTACATCTCAGAAACTGTGCTGGGAATGTCACATAAATTATGTGAGTTAATTCTTGTAATACCGTGGGAGTTGGGTTTTATATATCCATTTTCCTCAGGAGGATTTAGGTGCTGGGCTTTTCCCTATCTAGGGGTAGAGATTCTCTGTGTTTCTTTTGTTTCCCTATGACTGATTGTTAAAATGGTCTTCATGTGATGGTAGCTCAGTATACACAGAAGAAAAGAAGGCAAAGGAGTGGCGGGATTAGTGGTTCTGAGGGATTTTCTGATGGTTTGTTCATTTGTGCTTATGTATTTTGTTTTTAACATGTGGAGTGACCAGTGGGGCCCCCAGGAGTTGGAGACATCATGCTTTGAGGAATTCCCTAAGCATAGGTTATAACCAAAAGAACAAATTTTCACTTATCAAATTTTAAGACTTTTGCTCCCCCTTTATGTGCGTCTGGGTATTCAGAAAACCTGAGTGCCAGTTCTGGATGGGCAGCCGGAGGAGCTGCCCTGAACTGAGTTCTCTAAGCAGTTCTCGGGAGGTAGGACCTCACGGTGGGTGTGGACGGGAGGAGTGCAAGAGGAAAATTCTGTATCTAAGAGGTTATTTGAGAGAGTGCCTGGTCTCACCGTTCTGTTAAACCCTGGGGACCCCAGCTAGGCAGAAGAGATTGCCTTCCAGGGTGCAGATTCTGGAGGCAGCTGAGCTCTGTGTGCATACTTTGTAAGGCCAGGAGTGTGACATAGAATTCTAAGAAATTTTGAGAGGAGCAGCTTTAGCTAGGACCTGGGAGGGCTTCATACGTTTATATAGCATGGGGTAGTTGTGGGCAGCCAGTGCCAGCCTCTGTGCGGTCCTAGAGACACATGGATTGTGGGAGGTGCTGCATTCAGGCCCTGAGAGGCCGCTGGCTTCTCTCTGTGTGCATGCTGAAGGGTTTGGATAGGAAAGAAGAGGCAGAATGGGGGAGAGTAGGGGAGATCAAGTACCCCCAGGGACAGCGCGGGATGGTGGTAGGAGGCCAGCCTGTGGAGTGTGAGGCCAGGCGCCCCTAAAGTTACTGATTTTTTAAAAGTAATATATTATTACACACCTTAGCCCTCCAAGTCCCACAGCTCAGGTCTTGTCCCTGGGAAAGTCTCTGGAACACCAGAGGGTTGAGTCTCCGACTCCGAGGTGAATGGAAAGTAGAAACGGAAATGATGCTGGGTGCACTAATGAGATTGCACATTCCGCCCAGGCAGGATCTGCATTTCATTCTAGTATGCATCGCCTACACATATTCCAGTTTTTGTTTCGTTAAGTTGCAACAGTGTTCCAGGATCCAGCCACCGCCCACATCCACCTCGCACCGAGGTCCCTGCTCCCAGATCGCGGAGCTGCTCCAGCTTCTCTGGCGGGACTTGTAGATTTTGACTTGAACCGTTTTCAACCGTGAAGAGGGTAACATCTTACTCTCCAACCTAAGTGGCGCCCACAAAACTCTCAGCTTTTACCTTAAAATTGAAACATTAACTTGAAAAAGAAAGCAATGCTGCTGCCCAGGAGAAGAAACAGGACTCAAGCATACCTAAACCCTAAAAGCCCGGGAGCGAATCCCAGCTCCCGCCCCCGCACAGGCCCAGCCCAAGCCTGACCTCACCCCCACCAACGCCTCGTCTCTATGGTTACCGCCAGCCCCCTCCTCCCCCCGAGGCCTCGCCTCCCCCTCCCGCGGTCCTTTCGCAGGCTTGGCTTTGCTCCACGCCCCGCCCAGGCCCCGCCTCTTCCCTCTGCGCGCGCGCGGTTGTCTGCAGACCCGGAAGCGGGTTTCGTGGAGCCGAGGCCAGTCTGTGGAGTGTGAGTTTCGTCTTTCTTGTTTAAACCTGCGCCTCGCAGTCCCTCCCCGAAAGCCCCCCAAAATTCAGACGCTTCCGTGGGAGGCCGGGGGCTTCCCTTGGGTTTGAAATCCGCCAGGTGGGTCCGCGCCTTTCTCGGCCCCTAGAGGGCAGCGCCGGCCGCCCCTCGGGAGGCTGGTTCTCACCTGGGCCGAGAGATTCTCAGCCCTCCCGGGAGACGCACGCGCTTCGCCTCCCCTCGCGTCCCCCTCGGCCGGCTCACCTGCTCCCCAGGCCAACGCCCGTCAGTCCCCGCCTCTCCTTACCCTGTGTTGGGGAGGTGCCTGAAAAGGGCCTGTCTTGAGACAGTGAGTGCACCCCGCACTGGATAATGTGCTCTTGTGGGAGGCGGGCATCTTATTACATCCCCCTTCTGGGTGAGCGAGGAACCCGAGAAGAAGAGACAGTGTCCCCCTTAAAAACACAAGTCAGTCATTTTACTAGCAAAAGGAGTTTATTCTGGAAGAAACAGAGGAATTTGCAGTTTGGGACACGCATGGCGTGCACAGGCAAGTCGGGAGAGAAAAGGAAGGTCAGCTTTTATTTTTAGGAGGAAATTGGGGGCGGGTTGCTTTAAACAAAAGTTCATTGGGGAACAGGATTGGAGGTGGTGGCTGTTTTTCGGCGGCTGCAAGTGGTGGTTAGTGCGTTTCCTCCTGCTGGGGCAGGAAGGGATCTTCCTTTTTTTCTTAAAAGCAGATGAAATTCTCGTGTAAAAAATTTCCTCCCTTGTTAAAAATAATTCTTATCTTCTCTTTTCCTGCTGGTAAAGCAGGGTGCAGGGAGTGGTACTTGCCTGAGAGCTCCCACTTCGGGGGTTCCCACTCCTTTTTAAATGAGGTTTCCTTATTTATTTTCACAAGACCCACTGAGAGAATTATAGAAAAATGAACAAAGAAGAATGAGGGAGAACCACAAACAGATGGAAAAGTAGCAGCAGTGGGAGAAAAGAACATTGAGAAATTTAGAGTAAGAAGGAAATCTACAGGGAGATAGATGATGGGAAACAAAATGTGGAGAGGAGCCCCCCCCTTTTTTTAAGATGGGCAATGGGAGCATAGGTAACAAAGGAGGAGGCACTTCCCAGACAGTGAGGGGAGAGTTTAAAAGAACTGGAGCCGTGGCAGGGACTACTGGGTGTCCAGTCGGTTAAGCATCAAACTCTCCTGCTATCTCAGGTCATGATTTCAGGGTCATGGCATGGAGCCCCAAGTCAGGCTCCGGGCTCAGTGGGGAGTCTGCTCAGGATTCTCTCTCTCTCCCTCTGCAACCCCCACCGTACGATCTCTTTCTCTCTCTCTCTCAAATAAATAAATAAATCTTAAAAAAAAAAAGAGTTGACATCATGGCAGACAGAGCAATATGGTGCTGGAGGAAAGGAGGGGACAGTGGGAGACAGGAACAGGTAGGAAGCTGAGCAAGCTGGGGGTGCCAGAGAGTGGGCACAAAGGGGACGTGGCAGGGAAAGAGCAAACTTTTTAAAAATTTTTTGTTATGTTAATCACCATACATTACATCATTAGCTTTTGATGTAGTGTTCCCTGATTCATTGTTTGTTCATAACCCAGTGCTCCACACAGAACGTGCCCTCTTTAATACCCATCACCAGGCTAAGCCATCCCCCCACCCCCTCCCCTCTAGAAACCTCAGTTTTTTTTTCAGAGTCCATCGTCTCTCATGGTTCGTCTCACCCTCCGACTTACTCCCCTTCATTCTTCCCCTCCTGCTATCTTCTTCTTCTTCTTTTTTTTCTTAACATATATTGCATTATTTGTTTCAGAGGTACAGATCTGTGATTCAACAGTCTTGTACAATTCACAGCGCTCACCATAGCACATACCCTCCCCAATGTCTATCACCCAGCCACCCCATCCCTCCCACCCCCCACCACTCCAGCAACCCTCAGTTTGTTTCCTGAGATTAAGAATTCCTCATATCAGTGAGGTCATATGATACATGTCATTCTCTGATTGACTTATTTCACTCAGCATAACACCCTCTGGTTCCATCCACGTCGTTGCAAATGGCAAGATCTCATTCCTTTTGATGGCTGCATAATATTCCATTGTGTATATATACCACCTCTTCTTTATCCACTCATCTGTCGATGGACATCTTGGCTCTCAGGGAAAGAGCAAACTTAACTGGGAGAGTAGATGGGAAGTAGAGATGGGGGAGGAAAGAGGCAGAAATGTGTGGAGATGGATAATCAGAAAGGTTGGAGAGAAAGAGCAACAAGATGGGAAACAAGTTGCAGAATGGGGCAGAGAAGGGGAGAAGTTGCAGAAGGAATCCAGAGAAGGGGAGAAACAGCAAGACAGGAGAGGGGAACAGAATGAGCAGAAACCCAAGGGAAAAACAGAAAAGCAAAAAAAAAAAAAAAAAGATAAATATCAAGAGAGAGGGAAAGACAATAGTGAAGAAAGGGACCCAGATGAGTGATGAATTGATTGGATATGAATGAGTAAGTGTGTTACATTGATGCGTGGCTTTATAATACACTTAAAATTGGATTAAATTATGCAGATCAGGATGAGCATTGCAAAACTTCTGTCTAAAAGGCTTGTGCATTTTATAATTATTTATATCAGAAGATAACTTCTATTTGTAATCCTTGTTCAGTTAAGAGGGCGGAGACTTGGGTCACCTTCATCCCTTTGCCTGGGCTCAGAGGAAGGTGGGGCAAGAGATGACTGTCACTACACGGTGCCTTTTTTTTTTTTTTTAAGATTTTATTTGACAGAGACACAGCGAGAGAGGGAACACAAGCAGGGGGAGAGGGCAGGCTTCCCGTGGAGCAGGGAGCCCAACATGGGACTCCATCCCAGGACCCCGGGATCATGACCTGAGCCGAAGGCAGACGCCTAACGACTGAGCCACCCAGGCGCCCCTACACGGTGCCTTTTTAAGGAACATTAAAAGTGTTGCTTTTTTGTAATAGATTTACTTTATTTTTCTTCATTTATATTATTTTTCTTTTTGAAGCTTAAAATAAATCTTGTTTATTTAAGTTTTACTTTTCTATAAATAATTATTAACTTCTGAAGTAAGCTTTGGAGCTACCCTATAAACAGTTTATGGCATTCTTTTCTAACTATGACTTTCCCATTTTTAGGGGTGCCTGGGTGGCTCAGTTGGTTAAGTGTCTGCTTTCGCCTTGGTCGTGATCCTGGGGTCCTGGGATTGAGCCTGCTTCTCCCTCTCCCGCTCCTCCTCCCTCTGCTTGTGCGCACGTGCTCTCTGTCAAATAAATAAATATGACCTTACCACTTTTAAAAATTTTGATCTCATACATTCAATTTAAAATTTTTTTTAACTTTTTCATTTTTATTTTTTTTAAAGATTTATTTATTTATTTTGAGAGAGTGAGAATGAGAGAGAGAGAGTACATGACAGCGGGGAGGGTCCGAGGGATAAGCAGACTCCCCACTGAGCAGGGAGCCCGATGTGGGACTCGATCCCGGGACTCCAGGACCATGACCTGAGCCGAAGGCAGTCGCTCAACCAACCAAGCCACCCAGGCGCCCACTTTTTCATTTTTAAGTTAATTGTGTCCAGTTCACACTGAAGTCTGCAGGCTCTCTTCTCTTTGTCATGTATATTGAGAACATTCTTTGGTCTCTAGTAAGTAATTTTAGATTGTTCCATGTGTACTTGGTAAATATGTCAATAATCTTTTATCTAAATTGGAACCTGATTTAATCTGTTACTGTGATACTCAGTTTTCTTATCTTTTATGTGATCTATTGAAACAGTGGGCTACACGTGACCAAATAGATATTCCCCTCAAGTTCCTCTTGTCCATTCTTTGCAAATGTTGAAGAATGGGCTGATTTACTTGGAAATGTCACCTAACAGAACCCATCTGTTCCTGATGAGGAAATCTGTGACTATCTTGTTTCTATAGGTGACCCTCTTGCAGTGTTTACAGCAGGAATTCTTATGTGTTCAAAATTCTGTATTTTTTAAATCTTTTACTGTGATGTTCTGGAAAAGAGGAATTTAGTACCTGAGATCATTGTGATCATATCTTGAAAAAAAGTTTCCTAGAGATGCCTGGCTGGCTCAGTCAGTGGAGGATGCGACTCTTGATCTCAGGGTCATGAGTTTGAGCCCCATGTTGGGCTCAAAGATTACTGAAAAGAAAAGAAATAGAAGTTTCCTTTGCTCAGACATGTGAAAGATGGTCCTGGAATTTTTAAGCGAGAAGAGTGATGTGGGCAAATTCTGCCCACTGGCCCCTTAAGGCCACCGTATGAGAATTCAGTTACACCAAGTTCTGCTTACCCAACGCAGACCTCCTCAGGATAACTTGGTGAAATGACTCCCTTGTAGGCCTCAGTGAGCCCACCCCAACGTGGAGATGATAGACTAGACAGAAACTGATTTTGAGCAACACTGAACCCTGAATTGATTGGCAAAATTCAATGCGTATCTTTGTGTGGCAATTCTTGGATGGAGTGCCCAGTTGTCATTAGAATTTTAAAGTTGGGGGGTTGCTGAGTGGCACAGTCAGTTAAGCGTCCGACTCTTGATTTTGACTAAGGATCTTTAGATGGAGCCCTGCAACGGGCTCCAAGCTTGGTGTAGAGTTTGCTTGAGATTCTCTCTTTCCCTCTGTTCTTCACTGTGCTCTCTCTCTCTCTCACTCTAGGTCTTGCTCTCTCTAAAATAAACAAATAAATCCTTTAAAAAAATTTTTTTAAATGGGTCCTGGTCCTCCAAAACTGAAACACAGAAACACTAGGGTGGAGGCAGAGACGCAGGCTCCGAGTCCTAGACCATCATCAGGTGTCTTTCTCTGCAGCGGGATAAATCTGTAGGCTGATGATGTCACTCCCTGGCATTGAACCCTCTGCTGGTCTCCCATTGTCATCAGGACGAAATGCAGACCCCTCACTGTGGCTACACAGCCCTGTATCATCAGGGCCACTGTCAGGGTCTCCAGCCTCATCCTGGGAACTTACACAGTTCACACAGCTCACTCTGCCCCAGTCACGTTCACCTTGTCTCTGTTCCCAGACACCAACCTTTTGTCACAGGACCTGGTCCCTACTCTTAACCTTTTGTCTCTAAATCATCTCAGCTCTGGCCCTTTCTCCTCCTTCAGGTGTAGGCTCAGAGATGTGTCTCCAGTCTCTCCCGCCCGCCTGTCATCTGAAGTGCCCTCCCGCAGTCAGTCTGCCATGTTACGCAGGTTGACTTGCCTCCATGTCGGTCACCCAGAGGAGAAAAGCTCTTCTCCATTGACTGTTTGGAGTCTTTCCTGTTTTCCCTACAGTGGAGGGCGCCCAGACTGGCTGCTGCACCTTCCTTTGGGGTTGTGTTTAGATGCTAAGGGCTGTGGGTTGCACTGAGTAGTCCTCAGGGAGACCAAGGAGCTAGGGCAGGTGCCCATTATTCTGGAAATTTCAACACCAATTGATGTAACCCTCGCATGGCTGCTTATTTTACGGGATGTACTGAAGCCTAGAAAGCCGTGCAGACCAGGGTCCCCACATGTGTCACCCGCGGTGTCACTGCCCTCTGCCGGCCCCCGGGTCGTCCGCACTGTGCACATCGCCAGGGAGCAGCTGCATCTCAGGCAGGGGCTTTGCCTTCCAGCAGTTGATCTGCTCCGGGTCAAGGATCCGAATTTCCCTTCAGGAAGGGTGGGGACAAGGTCAGGAGCCTGAGGGGGCATAAAATAGACACGCGGAAGAACTAGAGGATCTTGTAATCTGCTGTGAGTGGGGCGAGGAGGAGAGATCTAGGGGCTTCTCTGTCTCTGATGTCCTCACTGAACTCCACCCAGCCAATCTCCATCCAGTTTTTAAACTGACTCCATGTTGTCCCCGGTTGCTCACAAGTGTTCCCAGCAGGGCCAGCTTCTTGGTCTCCATACTGAAGGCCCGGCGCCCTTGAGTTTGCCCTTGTGTCCATTACTGCTGTGGTCCCTGTGCCCAGTGGTCCCGGTGCCTTAGTCCAGTTTGCTCGTGTGTGCCTGGAGGAGAGGTCGGAAGATGGGGGGAAATGGAAGTGAGCCTGGAGGGGCCTGCAGGAGTGACGTGGGAGCGAGTGTGGGCCTCTAGATGGCCCAGCGAACGGCATGGGCATGTGTCCCAAGCATGGGTGCGGGGTTGGGAGATGTGTGCAGCCGTTGGAGAGGGGTGTCTCGGTTCTGGCAGGAGCTAGACCTGGAAGTGGGTTTATGGGTAGTTGTGGGGCTGCACGGGTCCGTCTGGGGTGCCATTGTCACAGCACGGGTTCCCAGGGACACAGAAGCTGAGACTGAGATTCGCCTGCTGGGGTTTACTGGGAAACTCGGGAGGATGGCTGAGGAGGCGCGAAGGGACTGGGCTTTGGCGGAGACACGTTACCCGGTGCTGTTGGTGGAACCGAGGCCCGAGCTGCGCCCACAGGGAGAGCTGGCTGCAGCAGGATGGTGCCTTGGTCCTGAGGGGGTGGGTCAGGAGGCGCCCCCAGCATCCGCTCCACGCAGTGACCTCCGTGGGGTCTGTGCCAGAGTCACTCGGTGACTTCTGTGTAGGAATGCAAGACTTATCGTCCAATACAGAGGATTTGGAGGAAAGGTGTCAGAGAACCCTCTGGGGGATGACTTTGCGATTTTGGATTATTCTGAGTTGCAAGTCAAGAACAATTCAGGTGCATTTTGGAGGATCTAAATGAGAGTTTGCAGTGTTTTTAGAAGATGTCGGGGTCTCATTGGGGCATGTGCATCCTTGTAGACATCTGTTGAGAGGGAGGAGGGTCTGAGTGAAGGACTCTGGGCTTTCTTTTTTTTTTCTTTAAGTAAGCTCTATGGCCAATGTGGGGCTCGACTTAACCCTGAGATCAAGAGTCACATGTTCTACTGACTGAGCCAGGCATCCCGGACTCTTGGCTTTCCGCTCCTGGTCAGCTCCCCCATCCCTCATGATGAAGACTGTTCCAAGGACACACAGGACCCCTGAACATTTCAGTTCCCCCAAATGAAGGCCATGCCGGAGAATGTACCAGTGTGACTTTGTGTGCCGGAGATTGTTCCGGGGTCACCAGCCCCACTCACCATCTCAGTACCGTATGGCATCCTTTCCCCACTGTGTCTTCAGTTTGTGTGTGTCAGGACTTAACTCAGTCAGGATACACAACTGATGGTTTTGCCCATCTTTCAGACGCACACCCCCCCCAAAGCTTTGTATTCACTGTCTTCTTGCCCCTTTAAAACAAAACATTCTCTGTTAACTAATTGCCCCGCTAGTAAGCCCTCCTCTTCCATGCCCCCTTTCAGAACACCAGCCACTAAAAGCTTGCTTAGACCGTCTTCAAATCCTGCCTCCAGCTGTCACGTGAACCCCATCCAGTCAGGCCTTCAACCGCCACTGTGCCCCTGAGACTTTCTCGTTCAGAGTCACCAGTGACCCCATTTCTCAGTCCAGGATTGACTTTCCTGCCTTCATCTTGGTTTTCCTGTCGGACACAGGTGGCCCATGTGAGCGCTCCCTCTTCCTTGACACGTCTGTTCTTGGTTTGAGGACATCCTGCTAAGCTTTACTACTCTGTCCTGTTGTTTTTCCTGATCACTGGTCGCCTCTCAGCTTTCCTGCTGGTGTCTGCCGAACTGCCTGATCTCTTGAGTGTGGGGCACCCCACGGCCTAGTCCTTGTACCTCTTCTGTGTCTACACCCCTGCCTTTCCTCATCACCTCCTCTCCTGGTTCTCAACACCACCTGCATGTCTCTCAGTTTCTGCTCTCCACCGGACTTCTGCCCTGACCTCCATCCCGTGTCCAGCTGCCTCGACATCTCTGCCGGGGCGTGTGCATCTTAATTTGTGCAAAACTGACCCAACCTCTCCCGGTGGCCCTCCCCCCTGCATTCTCCACATCTTGGTTAAGGGCGACCCTGTACTTCCTGAGGCCTAGATGCACATCTTGGCGTGATTCTAAATATAAGATGTTACCTTATTTGTAAATGTTTTAATGTATAAGATGAAGAAAATTGGATAATTTGCTTAAAATGAGAGGAGGAATACATGGTTTCTAAAGTTCTTTCAAGATGTGGGAGGCAAATGTTGCAGGACCACTCCCTTCCTGATCTGCTTCCCCAGGGGCCGCTCTGACCTTGTCTCTTGCTGGTCACCCGCCACCCTGCTGCAGCCATGCTGGCCTCTTCCCCTTTCCTGGGCCCAGGCTTGCTCCTGCCTCAGGGCCCTCCCAAGGCCTGTCCCTCTGCCTGCAACTGTCTGGCCCCTCAGATGCAGGTGGCAAACACCCTCCTTCGCCAGGTCCTTGATCTGATACCGCCTTCTCAGGGGAGACTTCTGCCTACCCTCCCCCCGACCTCTGCCGCCTGCCCTGCATGTTCCCTTCTGCCCCTTCCCCTTCCAGGTCTGGGTCCCGGTGACAACAGGGCCCCAGGGGCGAGCAGAGCCAGAAGGTGGGAGGTGTGCTGGGCTGGCCTCCTGGGAGTGTGCTGCACCCAGCCTCACACTGGATTGCAGATACAGCTCTTGTGGCCCTCCCAGAGAGTCCCCTTCCAGTGGTCACGGGCGGATAGGGCCCAGCCTCAGTACCAGTTAAAGTGTCCCAGGCGCTTCTGATGTGTATCCAGCATTGAGCACCAAGGCTCTGGGTCCTCCGTTTCTGAGGGAGAGGTGAGGGGGCCCTGCTCTGCGTGGGTGTGATCAGGGCGGGTCTGTGACCTGGAGGGGAATGCCGGGTCCAGCCCAGGTCCCCACTGCTGCGGCCAGTTCTGAAGAAAGGGGTGGGGACACTCACTTGTTGGTGTCTGGAGGAGTTCACTGTCCCTGAGCCCCCCTCCTGTGGCAGTGGGCAGCAGAGGACTGTCATTTCCACACGGAGAGGTCTCCCTGTGTGAGGTTGTGGTGCAGGAAGGACGTAGATTGATTCTAAGCATTAAACTGCAGATTCTTGATCCTTAGGATTGAATTCTCAAGACTGATCTTGTCTGAGGAAGAAGCCTGGAAGAGGAGGAAGAGGAAAGGAAGGAGTCTGGAATGGCTGTTTATCAGGTAAAGTCATATTCTTGGTTAATTTTCTGTCTCTCATTCCTGCTATGCCCTTGTTGGACTCGCTAATCTTCTCTGACTCTAAAGTGTCCTGCCTGAGCCATGTCTGTCCACACCCCCCCAGGCCTTCCCTCAGTCCCTCTCCTTCCACTTAGAGTCCATCTCTAGCTGCCTCAATGACGTGGAGCCTATGAGGAGGCCTCTTTGTGTCATGGAGAGATGACTTCTCTTATTTCAGTACATTTAAGTGTATATATATATATATATATGTTTGTGCATGAATGCATGGATGTGCAAGCCCCTAGTTTTTGAAAAGACATTAGCATTACTTCACAAATAAGTTATTAATTGTTGAGGTTAAATCTTAAGTATTTTCCATGGCTTTACATTTTTGCTACTCTAGCACAAGTTAAACAGTATAAGAAGAATGACATTTATGTGCATGTGTGTTCATGTATAATGACCTTTTATCCATTTCCACGTTCTTAGCCTTGAACTTATTTCACATTGTCTCAGGGAACCCTCTGTTAGCGTACTCTTGATGCTGTCTGGTATATATGTTTAATTGTTTAAGTTCAGTTCCAAAGCCTAAACGTCTGGATTCAGGAGCTTGTTCTGCCATTTCTTAGCATTTGAGCTTGGGTGGGTTTTGGGGAATGTGTGTGACACAGGTGTCTCCTCAGGACGATGGGAACAGATCTGTCTTTAATGCGTGACGATGTTGGTACAGTTAGTGCCTGTAAAGCATTTAGTGTAATGCCTAGCACCTGGGAAGCGTTCAAGAGCTTTTATTCATTGCGGTTGCTATCATTATCCCAATTTTTAGATTCTGGCCTTTCTCTAAAGTCATTGTGGACATTGTCATTTCTGAAGATACCACTTGTGCCCTAGCTCATCTAGATATTGAATATCATTCAGTGCGTAAAACACAACAAATGACACTTCTTATAGGTAGCCCTGTATTGATTGTCTATTTTTTTTTAAAGTTTATTTTTTCTTAGTAATCTCTACACCTAATGTGGGGCTCAAACTCACAACCCCAAGGTTAAGGCTCACATGCTCCTCTGGCTGAACCAGCAAGGCACCCCTGATTTCCTATTTTTATATTTCTTATATTGTCCACAAAAATGAAAAAAGCCATATTGATTGAGAAGCCATCCTAACCTCTTATGGTAAAGTATAATAGGCCAAAATAAGGGACACATAACTTGTTCAGAAATACCTTATGTGGATCTGTAAGAACACCCACTTCATCTGAATCCATCCTTACACATCTCTCCTCTTCTCGTTTTATGTGAAGATAAGAACTCTCTCCATAGTTCCTTGGTGAAATGTGTTCTCATTTCAGGGATGGTTGACCTTCAGGGATGTGGCCATAGAATTCTCTCAGGAGGAGTGGGAGTGCCTGGACCCTGCTCAGAGGGCCTTGTACAGGGACGTGATGGTGGAGAACTACAGGAACCTGGTCTTCCTGGGTGAGGAAAATGTCCCTCCAGCAGAGGGGGTCTGCCCTTGGGTATCTTTGTATCTCCCCTTGTTGGCCTGAGAGCCCCTGCCCTGCTTGACTGAGATCGAAGCCCTGTCGACTCAGAAATGAATGTGGCATCTGGACTTTGCATTTACACTTCCTTCCGATGATCAGCGCAATTAATCAGGCATGGTGCCAGAGCTCAAGTATGCATAAAGCCTCACGAAAAACAAAATATCCAATTCCATTTGTTCTACCCCTGTGCTTTTGATTCCCTAGTTCTTAGAAGAAAGTGAAATATTTATGTAAACTGTTCTCTAGGTCTTCAGAGGAGGCAGTGGGTGGATAAAATTTTGAAACTGTTGTTCAGCTTTTACTGAGGTGTAATTGACAAAGAAAATTGTAATATATTTAAAGTGTACCCCACAGTGATTTGAAGTACACATAGGTTGTGAAAGGGTTTCCATAATCAAGTAAGACACATTACCCCACTTGTTTTTCCTTTCTTTCTTTTTCTTTTTGGTGAGAACACTTAAGCTCTGTCCTCTGAGCAAATTTCAGTTAATGACATTATCAGCTATAGTCACCATGTTGTACATTAGCTCCTCACACCTTATTCACCGTGTAGCTGAAATTTTATCCCCTTTACCAGCGTTTTGCCATTTCCCCTCTGCCTCGCCCTCAGCAGCCACCCATCCTCCCTTGTTTCTAAACATGGCTTCTTCCCGCGTCATCATGCTCCCTCCGTGTTAAATGTCTTCCGTTTTGGCCCACACCCATACTGTAATTCCTGCAGTTAAGAACGGGACAGCATGATAGTATTTGCCACACCGGTTCCTTCTTTTTTTCCAAGGTCGCAATTCTAACTGCCCTGGTACATTTATCTTCCCATAGATTGGCAGGTTCGACCACTTCTCGCATGTGCTCTTGACTTCCCGCCCTCCACTCCTCGCCTTCCTTCTGGCCTCTCCTTACGTGGTACCTTGATGGGGATGGACTGCGCTAGTGCTTACCAGCATATTAATTTTGTACTCTCAAACACCCTCGTTCCCACAGGACCCCTCACCAGCCACACTGCTCTCACTGTGTAAGGAAGGGTCCCTGTTTACCCACTGTATCACTGTTTCAGGACACTACGGAAATCTCTATGTGCAAGGGGTGACGAGGTACTCCGGATGGCTGAGCAACACTGTTAGCAACATAACTCAGCTCTGCTGTCTCCATCGAAGTATTTATTTCAGAGCTTGTGGTCTTGACTGTGACGTGTAGGCAGTCGTGCATAAGAACACATTGTCTGAACCTGCAGGCCCAGGGCAATCCTGTTTCTCTAACTTTCTCTATAAATAGGAGTTAGAAACATAAACCCCGTGTGCCTACTGGCCCTATTTAAAAAACAGTGGTAATTTGGGGGCTCCTTGGTGGCTCAGTCAGTTAAGTATCCAACTCTTGATTTTGGCTCAGGCCTTGATTTCAGGGTCGTGAGTTCAAGCCCTGCACTGGGCTCCACTCTGGGCATGGAGCCTACTAAAAAAAAAAAAATAGTGATAATTTACTTCAATGCTTTTTTTGTTGTTGTTAAAGATTTTATTTATTTATTAGAGCGCACATGCACACAAGTGGAGGGAGGGGCAAAGGGAGAGGGAGAAGCAGACTCCCCGCAGGGAGCCTGACGAAGATGCGGGGCTCGATCCTAGGATCCCAGGATCATGACCTGAGCCGAAGACAGACACTTAACTGACTAAGCCACCCAGGTGCCCCTTGCTTTGAGGCTTTTAACCATGTTAGCGCTATTAGAAGGTTTAGAATATTCCATGTTTTATAGTAAAGTCTCAGAAATTCCTTTGCTTAGTAAGATGCAGCAACCTTCTGTCATGATTTTAATCAGTTGGCCTTTTGCCTATGTCTTGGCTCAGCCTACCATAACAAATACCATAAACCAGATGGCTTAACTAACAGAAATTTATTTCTCACAGTTCTGGAGACTGGCAAGTCCAAAATCTTAGTGCTAGTCAGTTCATTTCTTGATGAGCATTCCCTTTCTGATTTAGAACACTGTCTTCTTGCTGTGTCTTTGCATGATGGAAAGAGTGAGAGGTAGCAAGCACTCATATCTCTTCTTATAACAGTTCTAATCCCATTCACGGTACTCCAACCTCATGACCTGCCAAAGAACCCACCTCCAACACCATCACATTGGGGTGGACACAGACTTTCCGACCATGCAGCCCGTATTATATTTTGTATGTTTTTATTCTGCAGTTTTGTCTAAACAGTGTTTGATCTGGCCTTAGTTAATAAGGTTTTCATGCACAAGCTCTTTATTACATATACTTTGTGGACAATGACCTAAAAAATTAAAGAACAGTGTGTAAATAGGGAATTGCTCTGTTGCTTGGCTGTTACATAACTGCAGGCATAAAATCATAATTGTGATTTATGGGGTGCCTGGCTGGCTCAGTCGGTGGAGCCTGTGCCTCTCGATCTCTGGGTCATGAGTTTGAGCCCCACGTTGGGTATAGAGATTACTTAAAATCATAATTGTGATTTCTGACTTCTTTCTCCAACTATCATTCTTTATAATGTTGAAGTATTTACGTGACTTGATATTTCAAAAGTGAGTGGTCTTAACACAAATTCCAGTTCTCATATTGTGTGCTGGTTCTAGAATAGAAGCCCTTGCTTTTTTTCCTAAGAGAGATTTGTTAAGAATTCCACAAACTGTAATTTAATTTTGTGTAATTGTGGTTACTTATTATTTCTATTGTGGTTTCACTATAGGTTACTAGAATGTTTTATTAATTGTCGTGATTTATAGATGCTGGTTTTTCTGAACGTATAATGCAACATAACTGACTTAAACCACTTGTTAATATTGCAAAATGGCCATTCCAGGTGAATACGGTTTTATAACCAGTATTCAGAAAAATATTTTTGTAACTTTGTTTGATTAAATTCTTCCTCATCTCCCCAGTGCTTCTATGGTTTTCCAACTCCAAATTGCCATTTACTAGATTACTCATTAGATAAGTTTGTTTCGGATTCTTTAGCATTGGAGTATTTCATGCTGTACTTGAGCATTGATTGGTACACAAGAAGTATACAGTAAACATGTATGGTATTTTTGTCTCTTCAGATATGACTGAGCCATATATATTCTGTGAAGTGGTGTGTGATTTTGGGCCACGATGGCAAAATACCCCTTCTTCAGGGCTAGCATAAGTTTGTACACTGATTTTTTTTTTTTTTGCCATTGATTACTTAAAGTAGGCTTCTCTAAAATTAATTTGAATTACATATAATCACCCTTTTATCTTAAAGAATCCTATTCCTTTTGTGTTCCTAAAAATTGAAGATCATGGTTCCATTTCATAACTGATCAAAATATGTACTACTTTTGGTGTAATTTTTCAATATGAAATTTTTCTGTAATTAATGGGAAACCTATGGTTCTTTATATCTTGTAGCCATCTCTTCCAAATGTATGATCAAGGAATTACCACCCAAAGAGAACAGTAATACAGGGGAAGTATTGCAGACGGTTATATTGGAAAGACATAAAAGCCGTGACACCGAAGATTATGCCTTTAGAGCAATCCAGAAAAATATTCGTGACTTTGAGTGTCAGTGGGGAGACGGTGAAAGAAATTACAAAGCAGTGCTTGTGACCCTTAACAAAAATCTCAATGGTGGAAGAGATCAATATGGTGGAAGAGATGCAGGAAATAAACCAATTGAAAACAGGTTTGGACTAAGCTTTCAGTCACGTCTGGCTGGAGTGCAGATACTTCATACTGAAGGGAAAATTTACCAATATCACCAAGCTGAGAAGTCTGTCAACGATCGGTCTTCAGTTTCACCACATCCCAGAATTCTTCCTAGTGTCCACACCAACATTTCTGACAAACGTGGGAATGATTTCTTGCGTTCTTCATTACTCACACAAGACCAGAAAGCACACCTTAGGGAGGAACCTTACAAACGTGATGAGTGTGACAAAGCAGTTAATCCCAGTTTACACCTCACTAGACATCAGATAATCCATCCAGGAGAGAAACCATATAAATGTGATGTATGTGGGAAGGTCTTCAGTCACAACTCACACCTTGCATGTCATCGAAGAATTCACACCGGAGAGAAACCTTACAAATGCGTTGAGTGTGGCAAGGTGTTCAGTCGCAATTCACACCTTGTACGTCATCACAGGATTCACACTGGGGAGAAACCTTACCACTGCAATGAGTGTGGCAAAGCCTTTAGTGAGTGTTCAAGTCTTACTAACCATCAGGTAATCCACACTGGGGAGAAACCTTACAAGTGCAATGAATGTTGCAAGGTCTTCAGTCAGAGTTCAGGCCTTGCAAGCCATCGAAGAATTCATACTGGAGAGAAACCTTACAAATGTAGTGAGTGTGGCAAAGCCTTTACGTATAGCTCACAACTCACTAACCACCAGGTAATCCATACTGGTGTGAAGCCTTACAAATGTACTGAGTGTGGCAAAGCCTTTAATCAGAGCTCACATCTCACTAGACATCAAATAATCCACACAGGAGAGAAACATTACAAGTGTGACGAATGTGGGAAGGTCTTCAGTTACGATTCACACCTTGCACGTCATCGCAGGATTCATTCTGGAGAGAAGCCTTACCAGTGTAACGAGTGTGGCAGAGCCTTTAGTATGTATTCAAGCCTTACTTACCATCAGGTAATCCACACTAGAGAGAAACCTTACAAATGTAATGAATGTGGCAAGGTCTTCAGTCAGAGTTCGAGCCTTCCTAGTCATCGGAGAATTCATACTGGAGAGAAACCATACAAATGTAATCAGTGTGGCAGATCTTTTATTCAACGCTCAAACCTCACTAGACATCAGATGATTCATACAGGAGAGAAACCATATAAATGTAATGTATGTGGGAAGGTCTTCAGTCAAAATTCGAGCCTTGCAAGTCATCAGAGAATTCATACTGGGGAGTAACAAACGTAATGAGTGTGATAAAGCCTTTATTGTAAGTTCAAGCATGAATTGGCATTAGAGAGTCCACCCTAAAGAGAAATCATATAAATGTAACGTATGTGGCAGGGGACTTACACAGGCTTCACAACTCACTGGGCATCAGGATATACATCTTTGATGAAACCACATTAATGTAATGTGCGTGCTAAGGCTTTTGCCCGTGGATCAAAACTGCAGAACATCACAGGACTCATACTGGAGAGCAGCCTTGCAAGTTTAATGAATCTGAAGGCTTCCTGTCAAACATTCATGCCTTTGATGTCATGAGATTATTTATACTAGAGAGAAACCTACAGATTTACTGAACATCTAAAGGCCTTTAAAGCAACAGTGTGTCCTTGGGGTTCACCAGTTCATCGTAGAACAAAATAATTCATAATAGGAAGAAGTCTTACAAATGTAATGAATATTTTTATATTTCTTCCATAACTTTCACAACAGAATCCACATCAGGGAATTCTTATGAGGAATAAAATAACTAACTCTCAAGTTCTCTAAATTTAACCTGAGATAGTACATGCCACAGAATAATTTAAAGCCAAAATGTGTTAAAACTCTAGGTGGAAAAAAAAAGATACGTAGAGATATAGCAAATGTATATAGATCCTGAAGATATTATTCTGTTGTTTCTTTTCTAAATCTTTTCTAGGTTAAAGTATTATTGTTTTACATTTCACATTTAAAACTATGATCATTTTTTTTTAAAAGATTTTTATTTATTTAATTGACAGCGAGAGAGGGAACATGAGTAGGGGGAATGGGAGAGGGAGAAGCAGGCTTTCTGCCGAGCAGGGAGCCCGATGCGGGGCTCGATCCCAGGACCCTGGGATCATGACCTGAGCCGAAGGCAGACGCTTAACCAACTGAGCCACCCAGGCGCCCCACTATGATCATTTTTGAACTACTATTTGTACAGGTGTGAAGTTTTCGCAGACACCTTTTTTTTCTTTTTTTCTGGTATGGGAAGTCAACTGGTCCAGCATCATTTTTTTTTTTTTTTTAATTCTCCATTCAGTTGCCTTGGTACCTTTGTCAAACCTCAGTTGGAGGTACTTGTGTGGGGCCGTTTCTGGCCTTTTCCATTGATCTATATGTCTCTTATTCCACGAATACAATGTAGTCTTGATTACGTTTCACTATATTAGAAATCTAGAATGAGTGATTCCAACCACTTTCTTCTTCCTTTTCAGATGTTTTAGCTATTCTAGTTCCTTTACCTTTCCTTATAACTTTTAGAATAATCTTGTTTATGTCTACAAGATATCTTGATAGAAGTTGTGTTAAGCCTGTGTATCAATTTGCAGTCATTTGACATCATTTCTGTGTTGTATCTTCCAATAAATGGCTGTGGTATGTCTCTATTTGTGTGATCTTTTATAGATTATTAGCATCAAAATCCCATCAGTGTTTTGTTAAATAACATATGTTTGTACTTTTTCCTTTTTAAGCAATTGTACATATTGTATTTTTGATTTCAGTTTCCACTTGCTAATTGCTACTGCATTGAAATAAGATAGATTTTTAAAAAGATTTTATTTATTTAGAGAGAGCATGAGTGTGGGGAGCGGTGGAGGGAGGGGAAGAGAGAGAATCTCAAGCAGACTCTGCCCTGAGCACAGAGCCCGACATGGGACTCGATCTCACGACCCTGAGATCATGACCTGAGCCAAAATCAAGAGTCAGACACTTAACTGACTCAGCCACCCAGGTGCCCCGAGATAGATTTTTTAAAAATGTTGATCTCGTGTACTCAGAATTTACTCATCTCATGGCCAGCTCAGTCGGAAGAGCATGCAATGCTTGATCTCTGGGTCATGAGTTCAAGCCCCACATCGGGTGTAGAGATTACTAAAAAATAAATAAATAAATAATTTACTAATCTCACTTACTTTAGAGATTTGTAGATTCCATGGGCTTTTCTAGGTGTACTGTTTCATTAGTTTCCTAATGCGGGTGTAAGAAATTACCACAAACTACATGGATTAAAACAAAATTTATTCTCTTATAGTACTCAACATAAGACGTCTAAAATGGATCCACGGCACTGTTAACCTTCTTGATATTCCAGGGAGGAGTATGTTTCCTTGCACTTTCCAAGTTCTGAAGACTGCTTATATGCTTTGCCTCATGGCCCACTTCCTCCAAGGTGACATCTTGATACCTATCCATCCTGATTCTATCAGAGCAACAGCTTCTCTGTGTCTCCAACTCCACTGGCATCCTTCTTATCACACCCTCCTAATTATACCGTGCCTATCAGATAATCCAGGATCATCGTGCATCTCAAGATCCGTAACTAGGGCACGTTTGCAAACTCCCTTTTGACATTGAACGTAACCCTTGCAGGTTATAGGGATGAGGCTCTGCCTATCCTTTGTGTGTGTTTGCGGGGAGGCATTCAGCCTACTGCAACTACAATACCTTCTGTCGATGGGTACACGATTATACCTTCCTTTCTGGCCTCCGTCACTTTTCTGTCCCTAATTTCATTAGCTATAGCTTATAGTATGTTGACCAGCAGTGGTAACAGAGGATATTGTTGCCTTATCCCCAAACTGTGGGGGAAGTATTCAGTCTTTCACCATTAAGCTTGATGTTCACTGTATATAAGGTTTTGTAGCTGTTCTTTATTGAGTTGAGGAAGTTTCCCTCTGTGGGTTGAGTTCCTTGTATATTTTGAATAATAACATCATATCAGATACATAGTTTGCAAATATTTTCTCCCATTCTATAGATTGCTTTTTCACTCTTGATGGATGCTTCTGCTGTGCAGAAAATTTTTTAAAAAATTTATTGATTCGAGAGAGAGAGAACACAAGAGAGAAAGCAGAGCAGGGAGAGGGAGAAGCAGACTCCCTACTGAGCAGGGAGCCTGAAGCAGGGCTCGATGCAGGGCTCGATCCCAGGAACCTGGGATCATGACCTGAGCTGAAGGTAGACACTTAACCAACTGAGCCACTCAGGCGCCCCTGTGCAGAAACTTGGTAGTTTGATGTGGTCACACCTGTTCATTTTAACTTGTTTTCCCTCTGTGGTTTTGGTGTCAAATTAAAAAACCATTTCACAGGCCAACGTCAAGACACTTTTCCTGTTTTCTCTAGGAGTTTTACAGGTTCAGGTCTTGGACTTTAAGTTTTTGATACATTTTTATTAAAAATATTTATTTACTTGCCAGAGAACACAAGCAGGGGGTGTGGCAAGCAGAGGGAGAGGGAGAAGCAGGCTCCCGAGCCGGATGCAGGACTCCATCCCAGGACCCTGGGATCGTGACCTGAGCCAAAGGCAGACGCTTAACCAACAGCCATGCAGGCGTCCCTTTGATACATTTTTAAAGCTGATTTTATGTATGATGTGAGGTAGAGTTCTACTTTCAACTTCTGCCTGTGGATGGAGATGCGATTTCCCCAGCACCATTTACTGAAGAGACTCTCCTTTCCCCGGTGTGTGTTTTTGGCACGTTCTGCACATCAGTTGGCTGTAAATACCTAAGATTATTTCTCCTCTGTCTAGCTGGGGTCTTGCAGGGCCTAATAGAGAATTATCAGTCCAGCTTCCCTCTAAAATAGCCTCTTAGAGAATTGGGCTCTCTCACCCCTCCGCGTTGCTTCATCCTCACATTCTCCTTTCTCAGGACTGCTTAGAGGAGAACGGGTGGGGGCGGGAGGCCTCCTGCCTGTCAACTTCCAGGCACCCAGATGCAAATAAAGGGGTGCAAAGGACTTAAAATTTGGTGATTGAGTTTGTAGAGTTTTTGTTGTTTTTGTTGTTAAAACCTGTGTTTCAGGGGTGCCTAGGTAGCTCAGTTTGTTGAGCGTCTGCCTTCAGCTTGGGTGGTGATCCCAGGATCCTGGGATCCAGCCCCACATCAGGTTCCCTGCTCAGTGGGGAGCCTGCTTCTCCCTCTCACTCAGCTGCACCCCCTGCTTGCGCGCTCTCACTCTGTCAAATAAATAAATAAATAAATAAATAAATAAATAAATAAATAAATAAAATCTTAAAAACAAAAACAATGCTGTTTCAAGAGTTCCTTTTTTTTTTTTTTTGAAGATTTTTATTTATTTATTTGAGAGAGAGTGAGCACATGAGCAGGAGGGACTCAATCCCAGGACCCCAGGATCATGACGTGAGCTGAAGACAGACGCTTAACCGGCTGAGCCACCCAAGCACCCTCAAGAGTTCCTTGTAGCACCAAGTGTTCCACTCCTAGGGGGGGTCCGCTGGTTGCTCCACATGTCAAAAATAAAGAAAAGTCAAGAATGCAAATGAACAAACCATCAGAAAATTCCCTTGATACCGTTTCTACTTCCTCTCTTCATGTGTGTTTGTTTGTTTGTTTGTTTTAAAGTAATCCCTATGCCTAATATGGGCATGAACTCAGGACCCCGAGATCAAGTTGCATGCTCTACCAACTGAGCCAGCCAGGTGCCTCTCTTCACATATATTTAGCTACCAACATACATAAGATCATTTTTAATCAACAATAGGGTGAGCTGTTTTACACACAACACTTCTGAGACCAAATGTGTGGGGTTTTCTCTACACCAACCAACTCTCCAGCCCTCCGGACACCAACTGGGTGTCCTATAAATTCAATTCCGAAACCAACTGCTTGGAATTAGCGCAGACCCCAGAGATTTAGGACTCAGTCGCACAACACTGCCTCCACTTCAGATGCCAATTCCAAGTCCTGGGCCTCCGGTACTTCTAACCGACTGGCTATATACATGGCTACAAATTCCAGTATATTCCTGAGGTAGAAGTGGTGATATACAGGGATCATCCCTTCAATTCTTTATTCCTGATCTTAACAGAAATGCTTCTAACGTTTGGCCATTAACATAAAGTTCTATATTCATTGTAGATGAAAACTGTGGATCAGATTAACTTTCCTCCTCATCTTATGTGCTGAGCATACATTTCTATTTTAAATATAATAGAGTGTTGAAATGTTTAAAGT